ATTATTATAAATTCGTTTTCAAATATAATATCAATGAAGGTTCACCACCCTAGTGATATGAAAAACACTGGTGAAAAATATATTTCACGACTACTGCGTAGTGTGAATATCGCGTTTTTCACCGAGTTTTACACCAATTCATGTAAGACGGGTCGTGAAACTCCAATGTTATCTAGATGAATATGTTCTCATGGAGTTTCACGACTACCCGTTTTACGTGAAGTGGCGTCGTGAAACTCGGTGAAAAACGCGATATTCGCGGTATACTGTAGTAGTTGTGAGTATATTATTCACTAGTGTTTTTCATATCACGAGGGGAGTGAAACTCCAATATTACTTCAACCTATTAGTAATAATATAAATAGATATATAAATCTTAAGATAGGCAAGAGTTTTATAGACACTACTGCAAGGCACGAGATGTTGTTGAGAATCGATTTTAGCGATTTTGATTGTATAAGAGAGTTCCAACGGCTCGTTGGTCGTTAGCTGGTTGATATAGCATAACTAGGTCTTCATGTGGGAGGGGCGGAGGTTGCTTAGTCCGCGTCGATTGATTCGATCAATGGAGTTAATATATTCGATTCTGGGTGAAGAAATCTCAAGTCGGACAGAAGACGCGCGGAATTTTTTTCCGGGGAAAAAGATGATGATTTTTCTTGGAAAATCTCATTCATAGACTTCGGAATCGAACTCAGTAATGTTGGTTGCATTAGAAAGTTCTACCGCTCGTTAACTAGTCATAGATAGTGACACTGGTGATGATGCACATAATGTATATGTATAAGTAGTATACTAAGTGACATTAGTGAATAATAAAACGGTTATCGTTTCCATGTTGGCGTCGAGAAACTCAACTTGTGGAGAATATTACTAAGTTGACACACCTTCGTTTCAGCTGCTCGTGATATGAACGAGGATAGTTTCCTCATTTATTATAGGAGTTTACAGACGAATTCTGGTAAATATGTGCAGGAACGAATATGAATTTCCCAAAATTTTCATATTGTCACCGACACATGTAGTTGACCATATGCATATTACTTATTCCCCTTACTGATTTCAGCTGCTCCTCATTCAAGCGACGACTCGGTCCTCGCACTTGGCATTGACGGCTCAGCTGATATCGAATCTAGAGACAGTACTTGCTAAGGAGGGCGATGAAGGAGTACAGGAGGACGAGCCCGGCCATATGCTCACGGCGCTGTGGTCGCTAGTTGCCCTTGGGCATGGACAGGTGAGGGTGGTGAATCTGACGTTGGAGAATTTCCTATGGAGGAATATGTGTTCGCTTTCCTCAGCACCTGAGCTCAGGGGTTTCCTATACAGTGTTGGAGTAGGAATACATGTAATCGCTTTCCTCAGCACCTGAGCTCAGGGGTTTCCTATACAGTGTTGGAGTAGGAATACATGTAATCGCTTTCCTCAGCACCTGAGCTCAGGAGTTTCCTATACAGTGTTGGAGTAGGAATATATGTAATCGCTTTCCTCAGCACCTGAGCTCAGGAGTTTCCTATACAGTGTTGGAGTAGGAATATGTGTAATCGCTTTCCTCAGCTGAGCTCAGGAGTTTCCAGAGATAATTATAGAGGCATATATACGAATAAGGTGTATGTTGAGAAATCAAATAAAAATTTTCGGAAATTTCCTGCGAATTTCCGTGTTGGCAACAACGCAAATGAGGTGAGGAGTTTCCTCACTAATTATATGATTTCGAGTAGAAATGTTTATAAACCGAGGAAAAAAATTCCAAAAAATTTCCGGAAATTTTCCGAAAATTTTCGGTATAGTTGAGCATGTGTACTGTATGCAGAACGTGGATACGGAAGGCCGGCTGCCAGAGCCACTGAGTTCATTGTTGTTGAGGGCGACTAAGTGGCAGTGTCTCGATGATCCTAAAATGGAACGTCAACTACAGCAGATATCTCTAAACTTTGTACTGGAGCATGGGGAGAAGCCGGAGGTTGCCTCGCAGGTGATAACAGCGGAGCGAAGCGATGAAGGAATTGCAGAATTACTACTTGGGGGGTGAAATATGAGTTTACTTTCCTCAGCTGGGGTGAGGAGTTTATTATATTCGGTAAAAGTATGTACATAGAAATAAAAATTATTATAAAATTTCCTCCCAGAATTTTCATATTGTCACCAACACATGTAGTTGACCATGTGCATATTTTTCTACACTGTGTTTTTCTTAGCAATGGCATCGGTCTTTCCGAAGCAGTGTGGGAGTATGTATTCGGGGGCCTCAGCTGACGAAACTAGCTTTGTCACTACATCATGAAAATTCACAAAAATATGCTAAAAGCAACGATAATTTTGTCCAAGTTTGGTCGCGAAATTTCCGCACCGTTCCAGAGTTTCTACTACACGGGTGGCAAATCTGTAGGAAAATTATGGGATAAACTCCCGAAGTAGACTGAACGGCTAGTCCTATTGAGGAAAACGCTGTGATCAAGAATATAGCGTTGGTTTTGTTGTAAAGCGTCCCATTTCGAAATTAGTAGTATAGATACCACCGATGCCCTACTGCATCGCTCGGAGTGGGATGAAGAATAATGATTGGCAGAATTTATGGTATGGTCGGGAGTCGCGATGAGGCTTGAGGGAATAAAAATAAAAAAAAATTAATTTTTTCATTTAAATTTTTTTTGAAAAATATTTTAGTGGGAATGAAACTTTCGGCGGCACTCTGGAGTGCTGGAGGAATATATGTTTGCTGAACTCGGCTGCTTCCTCGCTGATTATGAGAGTTTATGTAGAAGTTAGGGTAGAAATGTACAGAAACGAATGAGAATTCGCTCGAAATTACGTATATACTCTTATATTTTCATCAACTCGCGTAGTTGACCATGTGCATATTATCGCCACTCTATGGAAAAAAGTGTGGGAAACAATATAGAAAATATTGGGGAGAATCTACCTGGTTTCCGTACATTTCTAAAGTAGAAATGAGTTATATATATACACTTCATAGAAAGGTAGTAAGAATCCTGCTAGTAGAATTCATGTAATTATTGCTGGAAATCCTGAGCTCAGTTGAGGAGAGCGAAAATATATATTCCACCAACACTGATTCGGAATATCCGAAAGCGGTTAATGTGTGTGGATGGCAATGTTGGATTTAGGTCTTCCTTCGTTCTTGTTGATGATGCTGTCGCTGAGGAGTCCTCTGGAGCTTTTGGAGAGCTGGTGAGCTCTATTGAGGGGGAAGTGGAGGATATATTGGATACTCTGCCAGAAACGGGTAGATGACAGGTGCGAGGGTTGAACCCGGGACCTATTGGTTTTGAGCAGACATCACTTTCTCACCGAGCTGGAAGAGCGAGCTGGTGTCAAGATTCTATAGAAAGGATCGTCTCTTGGGAGATAGATTTGGTGATGTCTTTGTGCACGTCGACTGCGGTCCGGCATGGCTGGAGGAGCCTCTGGATCCCTACGCTCAGCTGTTACATCGCCATGTAGGGTTTCACTTTTGAGCGATTTTTAGAGGCCACTAGGGAGGCTCTCTAGGGTTTGATAACAATGGGGAAAATTATGTTTCTAATGTGATGATGACATTCACATGGAAAACTGATTGAAGAATGTGTTCCTAGCCATACGTGGAACCTCATAGGTCTGTGTAGGATTCCCTGGAGAGAACTGTGCTGTTGGTGATAGGTCCGATTGGCAGGAATGCACGGCGAACGTCTGCGAGTGTCCGACTGGGTTGATATGAATGATGAGGAGAAGAGGCAGATGGTGACGGAATGGCTGGAGGTGGCTCAGCAGGGGTAGAGGGTTGTCCATAGTAGTGACGATTATGGTGATGATGTTTCTTATTGGGAAATGACTTTGTGTTTTGGGAGATGGATAGGGGTGGGCTACTCATGGGGAAAATAGTCGCTGTGTGTTTGGGGGAATCATAAACTCGTCATTCGCATGACTGTTTTGATGGCGTGTGGGGGTATCAATGCGTTTATTACTAGTGGCGGTTATTGATATTCTGATGTCGTGGTGATTTGGTTAGAACTGGTAGAAAATCATGGTGGTTAGGAGGGATGGGTCTTCAATGGTGAGGTTGATGTCAACTTACCGCTGTCCCTAGTGAGGTAGAAGTCAGTGATTTGGCAGAGCTCGCCGCAGTTTTTAGGTGGATGTTGTGTCGGAGGATGTGTTTCAGGTGAGTAGGGGAGGCTGTTGGATTAGCTATCGGGAGGTTGTGGGTTCGATTTTTGCTCGGTTATTTTTTCATGTCCACAGGCCTAACAGGAGGAATCAAGGAAACTTCCGGCATTTGAGAAACAACTTCTAGTCTACTCACTTGACGACGCTAGGGGGTATGCCGGCAGCCACCTTGAGAGACATCACCGATGTGATAATTTCGTGTCGCAGTGACGCTATCAGTTGAAGCAGGTGAGCCGAACCTGAGAGGATATTTAAGGAACGACTATACGGAGGGCTTCGAATGGCACTAGAATAGGGAGCTGAATTTACATTGGGAAGTGTATGAAGGAAAATTACGCTGTGAATGTGAAATTGGAGGCAGCTGATTACGATAGGGCAGAACGCGGTTGCGTGAGTTCTATTAGAGGTCCCTTTTTTGTCCATGCTGATTTCATATCAGTCTGGGCTTAGCATTAACTCTCTTTTCTTCTGCTATCGCCGTCTGCGTACCGCACCTCCTCCTCGTGGGAAGGGATGAGTAGGAAGATGTTTGCATGGGTAGTGTTCTCTCAACGTTACTATTTTCTATGATCATTTTTAATACTGTCGAGTTGTCTCCACTATTGTATTCACTTTCAGCGATTGATCTCTTTCTTTCTCTTATATGGATGGTGACACGGTGATATCGGCTACTCCGGAGATCTCATCGCCGACTTTGAATCCTCTCTCCAGCGGCTCTGCATTCATAACGAGTTACCCCGCGGTGCTGCTGGCTTTGGGACTGATGTTGGTGACGTGGTTGGTGACTGTATATAACTGTTTCCAACATCTGCTGAACTACTCAAGGGAAGATTTGCAGATGCACATTATCCGCATTGTAAGTGCTGGGAGGAGGCATGTGCTACTGATGCATGGTCTGCGTACATGTGTTGATGGCAATATCAAAATTTTGGGAGGAAATTTTGGAAAGTTTTTGGGAATTTCTTATTGGTTTCTGCACATTTCTACCCTAGTTCGTATGTAAACTCCTATAATTAGTGAGGAAACTCTTCTGAGCTCAGCTGAGGAAAGCGAATATATGTTCCTACTCCAATACTGTATAGAAAACTCTTCTGAGCTCAGCTGACGAAAGCGAACATATATTCCTACTCCAACACTGTATAGGAAACTCTTCTGAGCTCAGCTGAGGAAAGCGAACATATATTCCTACTCCAACACTGTATAGGAAACCCCTGAGCTCAGCTGAGGAAAGCGAACATATATTCCTACTCCAACAGTATCTATATTCAGGTTTTGGTGGCACCGTTATATGCTACTGGAGCGTTCCTGGCCGTTTGCCTGACCAATGTGGATCTGGCAGTGCTCCTCGAGTCGATTCCGGAGATCTGGGAAGCGGTGGTGGTTTACTCTTTCTTCTGCCTTATTCTCACTTATGTTGGCGGTGAACATAACTGGATTCAAAGTGAGGGCATTTGCTATCACTACATTAGTTCGCAGGTTATCGTACATTAGTATATCTACAATGGAGTTGGCGTAACGTGAAGTGGCGTAACACCGATATGCAGTAGTTTGTGAAATATGTTTTTCACTAGTGTTTTTCATAGCACTAGGGTGGTGAAACTCCATTATAAATAGAATCAGTAGTGAATGGAAAACACTAGTGAAAACATATTTTACAATTTTCTTCGGGGAAAACAAGTGTGTTATCGGTCGGGAAGACATATACGTTACATGGAGTATTACGCCACTTCACGTTAAACGGGTCATGGAACTCCATTACGTTACATTGGAGTTCAACCCGTGCTGTGAGAAATACATATTCATAATGGACGTCGCGAAAAACGCATGTGAGCGATGACTAACGCGTAAAACACGTGATGAGTTTTTCATGTTTTGGGAACCTATAATGTTCCCGGGAGGTGAACTCATTTTGAATTTTCCACGTATGGCTAGGAACACATTATTAAATCAGTTTCCCATGTAAATGTCATCATCATATTAGAAACATCATTTTCCCCATTGTTATCAAACGCTAGATGGGTTCTCGTCAGGCACACTGTACACAGCTCCAAACGGCATTCAGCAGCCGTGGCCACTGAGCAAGTGCCTGCCGAATCTCGCGCTCACGTCGGAGTTCTTGAGAGGCATGAAGAGATGTGTACTTCAGTTCGTCGTGTTGAAGCCAGTGATGACAATTACGGAAATTGTAAAAATGCAGGATGCCGGTATCGAACCTGGGAGTGTATCTGTTTCTACTCAGATTATGCATATCTTTGGGGAAGGCGATAATAAAGTGTGGACGATTATCCGGGAGGTTGCGTACAACTTATCATACTCGGTAGGTTAAGCCGCTGGCAACCCGAAGGTCCCCGGTTCGATCCCTGGTCATGTCAGTTGGCGTTATATGCATTGGGGCTTCTGTACATATCCTCGAGACGTCACCCGAGTTTGCGAGATAAAAAACCTCTGGCAAAATTCGTCTCTGTGAAATTGGTTATTTTCGTCACTTTCTGGCAGCAGTATATTTTCGATCTCGCATTTTCGAAGGAGCCGCAAGAAATTGGTATGAAATGGAGCGCATTTCTGGTGTGCGTCGAGATGACTATTTTTGCGGTATTACTAACTTCGGCATTCACTTGGCGAGAATTCGAATTTGAGTGGGTTGAGGCGTCACCACCGAAGTTGGACGATGTAGAGATGGACAGAGTTGAAAGTAAGTTGGTGGTGTTGTGGTATGGGAATAGAAATTGGGGACAAGTGAAAATAGTGAGGTTTATATTGGAGTTTTCACGTGAGGTGGTGTGATACTCCATGTGAAAAACGCGATATGAAGTGAAGTGAAAATACTTGGCGAATCACTATACCACAATTCGATGGTTATACTATCATACGGGCCGTGCTGAAAGTAGTATATGACTATTGTTATTGTTAGGTGGTGTTGTTCGTGATGATACTTCTGCTGGGGATTCCACTGACGGGGAAGAGAGTCCTCGAGGTGGTCAGCGAGCCGACAGTGAGCAACCTCAACAGCACGCACATGCAACTTATGGTGAGTAGTCATTTGTCGGTAGAGTTAGTAGATTTCATGATGGAATTGTCCTGGTCTCGATCACAGCGGAGCGAAGCGTTTCATGATGTGCAGTATTAAATTGAAAACATATATATAAAGTTCCAACATGAATAAAACTATAGTTTCACCCGTGATACGGAAAACACTGGTGAAAAATTTATATCTCTCCACATTTCGCGAAAAACGCATGTGAGCAGTGAATAACGCGTAAAACACATGATGTGTTTTACGCGATATGGAGTGATTCTTCCGGTGTAGTTCCCGCACGTAGGGGTCCTCGTCTAGTCGTAGTAGTAGTACTACGGTAGTACGTCACGGTGGTGTACAAGTTGAGCCAAGTCACTAGTGTATACCACTCAGGGCTTGGCAGTGAATCATTCACAAAACACCAAATACACGACTAGTCGACTAGAGCGTCAGGGAGCTGTTTCACAGCAAGAGGCTGTTGCCAACAGCTAACCCTGACAAGAACCCCAACCCGCGTTGTTCACATGGAGTATTACATCACCTCACGTAAAACGGGTCGTGAAACTTCACTGTTTCATGATGATGCTATCCTGTATACGATTGGCACTGGTGAGGGATACGCTCAAAAGTAGTGTGTACCTCATTGGAATTTCGCGACCCAAGTGGCGCCATACTTCACGCGATTGGAAATATTCTGCGAATAGCACCGGTTTACGCGTTATTCACATGAGGTGTTCGTTAAGTGAAATGTGAAATATTTTTTCACTAGTGTTTTTCATATCACGGGTGGAACTCCAGTATTAACAATTCACAGTGAATTCGGAGAAGTGTGGTAATAGGTACGAGTAGTCGTATACTACCAACGCAAGCAGACATACGGTTGGCTCTGGCCAATGCGAAGCGATCGTTGTATCCTGTTGATGTGGCAGTAGATACCTCTAGGAATTGGAGCACTCGATATCAAGGACATGTAAGTGTCGAGAATTATATTGAAAATTACCACTAATTTTCGGATTTTTTTCACATCTATTTTATAATAATCGGTTAATTTTTATCGCGAATTGCATATTTTTTCTGGAAAGAAAACGGATCCTAAGTGAGTGTCGAGAATCATACCGAAAATTACCACGAATTTTCGGATTTTTCGGTTACATATATTTTATAGTAGTCGGTGAATTTTTATCGCGAATTGTGTATTTTTTCTTGAAAATTTTGTAGTTTTTTTCTGGAAAAAAACGGATCCTAAGTGAGTGTCGAGAATCGTACCGAAAATTACTACGAATTTTCGGATTTTTCGGTTACATATATTTTATAGTAGTCGGTGAATTTTTATCGCGAATTATGTATTTTTTCTTGAAAATTTTGTAGTTTTTTTCTGGAAAAAAACGGATCCTAAGTGAGTGTCGAGAATCATATCGACAATTACCACCAATTTTCGGATTTTTTTAATGGTAATTGGTGAGTTTTTAATTTTTCCTTGGAAATTTTAGATTTTTTTGGAAAAAAAGGATCCTAAGTGGGAATTTTGACAATTTACTGAGAAATGGTATGGCTGGGGGTATTTAGGTATTATTGGAGACCAGCCAAGCATACGTTGGTGAAGACGATGAGGAATTGGAGGAAACCTCCGGGGAGGATACCTCGTCCGACACTGACAAACAGAAGAATGAGGGATGAGGATTGCGTCACTGCGCCACGAAATTCAAAATTCTCTCTCTCGCAACAAGCCGGCTTAAGAGTGTTGATGGTGGTGACCACTGAGTTTGGTCGTTTGTTTTTTACTGTTGGAGCATCATTCTTGAAATGTATGATGGCGATATTATTACATTTACTACTATTCCAAGATGATGGGAATATTGAAAAATTTACAAGATTTTTGTTTTTTTTCGGGATTTTTATTGGGAATTTATGGTAGTGTTTCCCACGATGCCACCGAAGCATGCGAAGATCCATTTAACTACTCCGGAGAAGCCGTCCTCGGTGTCAAGTCGAAGCAGTGTTTTGGGAAGTCCGGAATTGCGACCGAAGAATAGTGATGTAGATGA